CATGGAGTTCCTGACTCCTGGCTTCAGCCTGACCCAGTGTTGGCTGTGCTGAGCTTTTGGGGTTGAACCAATGGATGGAAGATATGTCTGTTTCTTTCCCTCTGCTTTAAAAACAAACAAAAAATTTAGTGGAAAGATAAGTTTGGAAACAAACAAAACTATTAAAGCAATATGTGATTATTTTAAGAGAAGAAAACACCAAGAAAAATCACTCCATGACCTCATTATGTACAGATAACTTTGGCTGGTCAGTTTGGGATATCTTGTTCATCTTTTCTGCATGTATAGATACATCTATGACCATTTTCTAAAATTTTATTTGAAAGAGAAACAGAGAGCTGCCACCTGTTGATTTAACTCTCCAAATGCCCTCGACAGCCAGGGCTGCACCAGGCCGAAATCAGGAGCCAAGGAGCTTTGTCTTGGACTCCCGCATGGGTTCAGGGCCCCAGGGACTTGAGTCATCTTCTGCTTCTTTCCCAGGTGCATTAGCAGGGAGGAGGATCAGAAGTGGAGGAGCCACGACTTGAACTGGTGCCCGTATGGGATGCCGGCACTGCAGGCAGTGGATTAACCCACTACACCACAGTGCCAGCCCCTACTTGGGCCATCTTCTGCTTTCCTTGATCCAGCAAGGAGCTGGATCAGAAGTAGAGCAGCTGGAACGCAAACCAGCGCTTGCATGGGATGCTGGCCTTGCAGGCAGCGGCTTACTCCACTATGCCACAACGCCGAACCGCTCTGCCCGCCCCAGCAGTTTCTTCACTGTGCCAAATGCCTACTTCTTTTTTTTTTTTTTTCAATGATTTTATTTCCATTTTCCACAAGCTTTTTTTTATTTTTTAATTTATTTGACAGAGTTACAGACAGTGAAAGGGAGAGACAGAGAAAGGTCTTCCTCCTGTTGGTTCACTCCCCAAATCAAATGGCCGCCATGGCCAGCACTGTGCCAATCCGAAGCCAGGAGCCAGGTGCTTCCTCCTGGTCTCCCATGTGGGTGCAGGGCCCCAGCACTTGGGCCATCCTCCACTGCACTCCAGGGCCACAGCAGAGAGCTGGCCTGGAAGAGGAGCAACTGGCGCCCATATGGGATGCTGGTGCCGCGGGCAGAGGATTAACAAGTGAGCCACAGCGCAGGCCCCATGCCTACTCCTATGAGTATATTTTTATTTATTAGAGAGAGAGAGAACTCATATCTGCTTGTTCATTCCTCAGATATTCAGAACTACTGGGGAGCCAAAGCTGAGAGCCAGGAACTCATCCAGGTCTCCCATGCAGTGCAGGAACCCAGTTAGTTGACCGTCACTGCTGCATCCCAGAGTCTGCATTAGCAGGAAGCTGGAATCAGGAGCTGGAGCTGGGACTGCAACCTGCGCATTCCAGGATGGGACGGGAGTGTCCCAACAGTGTCCCAACGGCTATGCTGAGCACCTGCCACTGAGCATTTTTTCAACGTTTATTTAAATTTTTTTTTTTTTTTTTTTTTTGACAGAGTGGACAGTGAGAGAGAGAGACAGAGAGAAAGGTTTTCCTTTTGCCGTTGGTTCACCCTCCAGTGGCCACCGCAGCTGGCACGCTGCGGCCGGTGCACCACACTGATCCGATGGCAGGAGCCAGGTGCTTTTCCTGGTCTCCCATGGGGTGCAGGGCCCAAGCACTTGGGCCATCCTCCACTGCACTCCCTGGCCACAGCAGAGAGCTGGACTGGAAGAGGGGCAACCGGGACAGAATCCGGCGCCCCGACCGGGACTAGAACCCGGTGTGCCGGCGCCGCAAGGTGGAGGATTAGCCTAGTGAGCCGCGGCGCCAGCCTACTTTTTAAAAAAAATTTTTTATTTGAAAAGGCAGAGAGACAAGGAGATCTGCCATGCAATGGTTCATTCCCCCAAATGCCAGCTACAGCCATGGCTAGAACAGGCTGAAGCCAGGAGCCTGGAACCCTATCCAGGTCTTCCACATGGGTGGCAGGGGCTCAGGCCTCTGAGCCATCATCCGCTGCCTCCTAGGACGTATTCGCAGGAAGCTGGATTGCAAGTGGAATAGCTGGAACTTGAACAAGCACTCCAGTATGGATACAAGCGTACCAAAGGGCTTCTTAACTGCTGTCCCACATGCCCAGGCCTGTACATATTTTAAAGGAACTGTTTCTTCTTGGTAACAGCTTTCATATTTAACATTTTTAATATTGCCTCTAAAAAGTCTTACCCAAACTGGAATGTTTAGAGCAGAGTTTGTCATACTCTAGCAGACGTCAGAATCCCGTAGAGCGGGGATCGCTGGAATTTTTCCATTACACAGTCAGACTGTAAATATTGTTGGCTTTTGGGGCCTTATAGTTTCCATCAAAGCTATTGAACTTTTATTATTATTATTTATTCGAAAGTCAGAGTTACACAGCGAGAAAAGGAGAGGCAGAGAGAGAGAGGTCTTCTATCCACTGTTTCACGCCCCCAAATGGCTGCAACGGCCAGCACTGGGCCTATCCAGAGCCAGGAGCTTCTTCTGGGTCTCCCACGTGAGGGCAGGGGCCCAAGCACTTGGGCCATCTGCTACTGCTTTCCCAGGCCATAGCAGAGAGCTGGATTGGAAGTAGAGCAGCCAGGACTTGAACCGGTGTCCATATGGGATGCCAGCACTGCAGGCTTTACCCACTATGCCACAGTGCTGGCCCTGAAACTATTAACTTTGGTAGCATGAGAGCAGCCACAGACAAGATGCAAGCAAGCAGACGTGGCTGAATTCCAAACATTTATGTTAAAAACAGGTGGTAGGCTGGGGCCAGCACCATGGCTCACTTGGTTAATCCTCTGCCTGCGGCACCGGCATCCCATATGGGCACCAGTTCTAGTCCCGGTTGCTCCTCTTCCAGTCCAGCTCTCTGCTGTGGCCCAGGAGTGCAGTGGAGGATGGCCCAAGTACTTGGGCCCTGCACCTGCATGGGAGATCAGGAGGAAGCACCTGGCTCCTGGCTTTGGATCTGCATAGCTCCGGCTGTGGCGGCCATCTGGGTTGTGAACCAATGGAACGAAGACCTTTCTCTCTCTCTCTCTCTCACTAACTCTATCTGTTTAAAAAAACAAAAACAAAACAAAAAAAAAAAAAAAAAAAACAGGTCATAGGCTGGATTTGCTCCGTGGACCAAATTTGCTGCCTCTTGATTTAGAGCAAGAAGCCACAGGTGTTTACTGAGTGCCAGCTATGTGTTCTAGGCACCTGGAACGCACATGAAAACAAAGATCCTTGCCCCCATGGAGCTCACATTCTAGCTTCTCTATTACTAGGCAATAAGCATATTGAGTCTGACTATGTAATATGTTAGTGAGTGATAAATACAATGGAAAAAACAGCAGAATGAGGGGGCTGGATTGCAATTTGAAACAGGAGAGGGGCAGGCGTTGTGTCACAGTGTGTTAAGCCACCATTTGGGTCTGCATCCATACCATTGTGTGCTACTAAACACTTTTTTTTTTTTTTAAGATTTATTTTTATTTATTTGGAAGGCCGAGTTAGAGAGGGAGAGATTGGGGAGGAGGTAGATCTTCCATCCACTGGTTCACTCCCCAAATGGCCGGGGCTGGACCAGGCTGAAGCCAGGAGCCAGGAGCTTCATCCAGCTCTCCTTCATGGGTGCAGGGGCCCAAGCGCTTGGGCCATCCTCCACTGCTTTACCAGGTGCATTAGCAGGGACTCAAACTGGTGAACATATGGGATGCCAGCATTGCAAGCAGCAGCTTAATCTGCTGCCCCACATTCGCCGGTCCCTGCTCCACTTCTGATCCAGCTTCCTGCTAATGTGCCTGGTAAGGCAGCAACAGATGGCCCAAGTACTTGGGAGACCCAGATGGAGTTTTTGGCTCCTGGCTTTGGTCTGGCTCAGCCCCAGCTGTTGCAGGCATTTGGAGAGTGAAACAATGGATGAAAGATACCTATCTGTGTGTGTCTCTCTCTTTTTCTCTCTGCCTCGCCCCGCCCCCCACTTCCTCTTCCTCCCTTTCTGTCATTCTTCCTTTTGAATAAATAAAATAAGACATGGGCAGGCATTTGGCCTAGTGTTTAGTTAAGACGCCTGTTAGGATGCCCGAGTCCCACATCAGAATACTTGTGTTTGGCCCCAGCTCAGACTCCTGGCTCCAGCTTCCTCCTAATATAGTTGGTTTCGCGTCGCCCATGTTGGAGGTATGGATTGAGTTCCTGGCAGGAGCCATGGAGCTTTGCTCTCCTTGGCCGTTGAAGGCATTAAGGAAGTGAATGAACAAATGGGAGAGAATGGGAGAGCTTGCACACATGCTCTCTCTTTCTCTCTTTACCTCTTAACTGGGTAAAAGTGTGAAAATAAAATAGTATAGTGAGAGGAGGGCACATCTCCATGGTGAGATTTGAGCAACGCCATGAGGGAGAGAGGACGTTAGTCTTGTGGACGTCAGAGATCCTGCTGCGGGGGAAGAGCCCGTGCAAAGGCCCTGGGGTGGGAATGTGCCTGGTGTGTTCCGGGAGGAGCAGGCTCTGCGTGGGTGGGAGGGAGGGGGTGGGGAGACGGAGGTCCATGGTGTATTTCTTCAACACAGAGTTTTGTAGCTCCTTGGCAGCGTCTGGGCCAAAATGCTTCTCTACTCTTTAGTAACCTGTTACTTCTCAATTAATATCGTAAGACTGTTTTGCCATGGGCATCAAGATTTTCCACAGCCTAGCCTATAAAAATCACAGAATGTTCCATCAAGTACTATGCCATTTATTTACTTTTCCAATTCCTGTGAGGAAGGTTGTTTCTCAGTTCTCGTCAGTGTTACAGCACTACAGTGAACATCCTTCTGACTAAATTTGTAACTGAATCCAGGATTCCTCCTTGGGATAGGTTCCTAAAAGTAGGATGGCTGGGCCAGAATGGAAGCAAACGGGTATCTGTCAGGCCCTTTAAAGATTGCCTTCAGACCCAGCCACGGCCTCTGCAGTGTCCCTCCCTTGCCCCCCGCCGTCTCTCACGCTGTGGCTCATGGTTCCAGGCTCCAGCACTGACATCAGTGAGGACTGGGAGAAGGACTTTGACCTGGACATGACTGAAGAAGAAGTACAGATGGCACTTTCCAAGATGGATGCCTCCGGTGAGGTGAGTGGACCTGGGTGGCTGCAGGCAAGCAAGCCTGGGGACGCGAGGTCTGAGAAGGCTCCTCCCCAAGCCCCGCTCTCCCCTCGGGGCGGTCACTGCCCTCTCAGCCCACAACAGTTGTCATCACGAGGCTCTGCCCCTCCTGAGTTCTAGAGCAGATGGGTAGGAGAGTTCTTGACCTCAGCTCAGCACCAAGGGAACTACTTAAAAAACACAGATGCTGACCCTACCCCAGACCTCTGACCCAGGGTGCCGAGAGTGGGGCTGAGCTTGGAGACAAAAGACCACTGTGCTCAGAGGCAGTCGTGAGCCCGTTTCCTCCTGGAAAACATGGCATTGACGCTGGTAAGACCTGGCGTGCGAGCTGGAATGGAGCAGTGCCTGGGACGGGTGGCCCTCGGCAGACTAAGTGATAAACAGCACAGAAGCCATTCGAGGCGCTGAGTCAGAGAGGCCTCGTCACCCTTCCTGTTCAGTGCCTTCCAGAATCGAGGGGTCATTGTGAGGGAGAGGCTGGGACAGCCCCGAGAGGACGGCGCTGAGGCGCCACCTGATTCAAGGCCGCATTGCTTCCATTGTCACAGGAACAGCACGATTCCCTCCACCATGGCACTCCCACACCTGCTGTAGAGAGGTGGACAGATCAGAAAGACATGTGAAAGGCCTTGGTTTTCATACAGGGAACTGAAGCCTTGGCATGGGGCAGAGTGTGTGTGTGTGTGTGTGTGTGTGTGTGTGTGGTGATCGACTCAGTAATACCTTGTGCCTGTGATCTCACCGTGCCCTAGGCAGAGAAGGCTCCGGTGCTCCGTCATGCCTCGGGCTCGCTGGCTTTTTGTGGCTTTACCAGCCCCCTTTAAAATCTGATGAGCCGTGTTCCTGAGCAGCCGTTCTGTATCCCGTCATACGGGCTGGACGGTGGGCAGTGGGCAGCTGCCAGCAGGCCAAGAGTAATTTACAAGGCAAGGGGAAGGTTCTTGGGGAGATTTGAGGTGAGAATTAGGGTGCTGGAGTCGTGGGTGAAGACCTTGGGAGGACTGGCAGCGCTGCCACCCTGGGTTGTCGCCGCTGTGTCACTCTCAAGTCCTCTGCTCCCAGAGCCACAGCCTCGTCTGCCCGGCAGGAGGCAGGTTCTCCTTCAGGGCCGGGCTGACCTGGTTCCTGCAGACAGGGCATCCTTTGTGGCGCCCGGTGCTGCTTAGCAGAGCATTTCCCCAGGTGTGCGACAGCCAGAGCAGCAGGTCACGCCTCAGGCAGGGGCAGCTCGGCTCCCCAGATGCACTCCTCAAGACGAGGGGAGTCCTCTCGCAGCAGGGCGGGGGTGGGGAACAGCTGTGCGCAGCCAAGGGTGGGTCCAGGCCTGCCTCAGAGGAGTAAGCATGTGTTTGTGCTCTCCATTATCCCCCTCCCCGTTTGCAGCTGGAAGATGCAGAGTGGGAGGACTGGGAGTGAGGGGAGCCCCAGCAAGCAGCTCCCCCTCCCACGGCACCTCCTGCCTCCCTCGCTCGCTCAGCCCAGCCCTGGAAGACACTGACTCCCGTGTCAGTTCCCAAATTGGCCTCTACGAACCAGAGCTCTGGGCACAGATTCTGGGCGGCTCCCTCCTGGCCCTTTCGGCCTGTGTGTACACCGGGGAAGAGGCTCTCTAACTCCCAGCCAGGAACTCCGACTTGTGCCAACTATGGGATGAGCTAAGCGGGAAGAAGGCCACACGCCTCACTGGAGAGCCTGCCGTTTTCTGCCCAGCATGCACTGTTCCTGGGGGCGCCTGCTGGGAAGGCCTACGGGAAAGCTCTAGCCCTTCGGCCTGTGTAGACAGAAGCTACACCGCCAGTCCCTTGGAGGAAGCCAAGACAACACACGCTGTCACCCATAAACAGGCAAGGAAGGCTGTGGCACCTGTCCCTTGGCTGAACAAGGGACGGTGAGCACATGTTGGTCCCTGTCCCAGAGGGTGAGGTACTCATCCCTGGGAAATGTGCCTCTTTGGCATCTCCCCTCCGAGGCATTTTCCATTCCTGGAAAGATCCTTTGGGGTTCAGACCTAGAGACCAAACCTTGACCCACCTGCTACCTTTCCTCCCGCCTGCTCTGGGATGTCCGCATCCCTTCCCCAGGGCTTTGTCATCCAGTGCACCCAAGTCCTTAGCCCAGCTGTGCCGCCTGCAGGAGTCCACTCTTGCATTTCATCCCCTCCGCAAGAAGGGAGGGGACACTTCAGGCCCTTCTGTGCGTCGCCTGACAGGATACCTTGTCCAACCAGCTACCACTCTCCTGTAGCTTAGGACCCAAGCCAGCTGCCAGCGGTACAGAGCAGTGATCAAAGGCGAGTGCTTAAAACTCGGGTGCAGCCCAGCTTGTCTGCCTCCTGCCTCCAGCTGCTTGAACGGATAGCCGGGCGGGAGCTGGAGGCTCTCATCTGGCTTCTGCAAAAGTTCTTCTTCCTGAAGCCGGTCGCAGCCTGGTGGCTGTCGGCTGCACCTCTCGGGGGAGCGGGGGGCTGCAGGAATTCCTGGAGACCCTGGTGCTTCATGATGCTGCTCTGCTGGGTTTGTACAGTCTGGTGCGTTCGCCGGGGATGGAATGGGACGGCGGCCGGGGCGGCCGGGGGGTGGGCGCCAGCTTCAGACCTCCCGTGATGGTGGGAGGGAAAGGATGCTGAGTCTTTTTCTGATGGGGTAGGGTTTTCTCTTTGTAATTACTTCTCTAGTGTAATTAACTTTTTGGTTGTTTGTGCAATATTATATATTTTAAATTATAATGCATCTCCCCAGAGTATTTTTTAGCTGGGAAAAAAGGTCAAAATGCACACACACACACACACACACACAACAGGAAAGAAAAAAAAGATTCTAACAGCTGGTTTGTAATTAAAAAAGAAAGAAAAGAGAACTTTGTCCAGCACCTTTTACAGAATTGCCACTCACAGCACTAAAGAGATTCACCAGCTGTCTGGGCACCTGGTTTGTCCCCCATGGCAGCTCTCAGGAGCCAGGGCAGGACGCACGCTGTGGAGGTGACTTCCCGTTTGGATCAGGAGGAGGGGAGCCATGGGAGAATTGCCTGGGTCCTGAGGAAGTCCCTTGCCCTCATCCCAGGCTCTGCTTGGCCTTTGGAATGAGGAAGGGAAGGGAGAGGGCCCCCAGCAGGCCTCTTATGTGGAAAGGAAGTTGCAACAATAGTTCCAGTTGCACTGGGTCATTTTTCTCCTGCCCTCCGTGTGTGCGTGCGGGTGTGTGTGTGTGTGTGTGTGTGTGTATGTGTGTGAGAGTCTGGGGTCAACTAATCAGTTAGGACACCTGTGTGAAAACCACTTGTAAGCGGTAATAAAAGGGAAGTCTGAGTGAAGCCCTTTGGTTCCATGAGGATCTTTAAAGGTCGCAGGTACGCTGGGGCAGGAGTGACCTTAACACGGGAAGTCAGATGACCACTCTGCAAGCAGGTTTTGAGTTTGCTTTCTCCCCTGATTTATTGGGGAGGACTTGCTATTGCTTTTATCAAGTGCTTGCTAGCCACGGATGCCAACTAACTTCCTCGATTGAAGGCCGGAGGATCATGTCTGGTTCCAGGAGCCGCTTGAGCAGGTCCTGGCATTCGGCCGAGATGCCCAGGTGGGTGGGGAAGGACACCCCCTTCTGCTGCTGCCACAGCATCTTGGGGATGTCTGTGTCATCAAAAGGTAGGCTGGCGCAGAGCATGACGTACAGGACCACGCCCATGCTCCACACATCGCCCTTCTTGCTGTCGTGGGGAACGCCCTGCAGTACCTCGGGGGCGGCGTAGGCGGTGCTACCGCAGAAGGTCTGGCTCAGCTCCCGGCGGGACTTGGGCAACACTTTGGCAAAGCCAAAGTCTGTGAGCTTCAGGTTGAAGCCCTGCAGCAAGGCGTTCTCGCACTTGAGGTCCCGGTGGGCCACGCCACATCCATGGCAGTAGCGGATGGCCTCGACCATCTGACGGAAGAGGGCCTTGGCCCGGCTTTCAGGCAGCGGCCCCCCATTCAGCACACAGTCAAAGACATCCCCTCCCTCAGCCAGTTCCATCACCAGGTAGATTTTCCCGTCCGCAGACTCCAGCATCTCGTACACCCGGATGATGTTCTTGTGGTCCAGGGTGCGGACGATCTGGAGCTCCCGCGGCAGGAATCTCTGGATAAACTCTGAAACGAGAGGACAAGAGGTGATGAGCTATCAAGTCAAAGGGCCCAGCGCCTCACTCCTGGACTTCGGGCTGCCCTTCTTAAATGTGGTTCTCGCCCTTGGATGTTGCGAGAACCGAACCGTCACTCCTGTTGCTTTTGTAGCTAACACATTATGCAGTGGAACTGCCCCCTGCCAGCTTCGGCACTATTGTGAGCAGTCTGGGAGACTGCAGGTAGCAAGATGAGGTGCTTTGGGGACTTTCAGACAAAGTTACTGAATCTGTTACAAGGCCATACTTGCCCAGGGCATGGTGAGCCAGCTCCTCCCGTCCCTGGTCCCTGCCTCCTGCCTCCTGACCCACGGTTCTTTCCCATGAACCCTGCCTGCCTTTTTCCCACCTCCACCTACCTTGGCACCAGCTCCTGCCTTCCGCTAGCCCTGGCTGTGGCCTCTCTGCAAGTCTCTGTTCGTTCCCGGAATAGGAAGAGCCTGGCAAGCTCAGATCTTGCCTCTGAGGACTCCTCTCCTGGTGCCGCTTTATCTTGGACTGTGCGATGCTCTTGGACTCCCAGCTTCCCTCTGTTCCCGCACTGACCCCCCCCCGGGGGGGCGGGGGTCCCTAGGGCTTGCATTCCTTGGTTCCAGACTAAAGGCCAGGAGGAAATGACTGCTCTGACTGGGGAAAGTGCCCTCCCACCTCAGCCAGCCCTCCCTTCCTCCAAAGGGCCCCCGGCTCACCTTCTGGCCCTCCCATCTTGTCTATAATTTTAATTGCCACTTTTCTTTGGTGTTTTTTGGAAAATGCTTCTCTGACTTTTGAGTAGGTCCCTTCCCCAATGGTCTTGCCCAGCTGGTACCCATTGGAGAGCAGAAAGTCCTCCATGCTGTCTAGCGCCTCCTTCCTATCACCCACTCAGCGCATGCTGCCTCCGCGAGGCAGCTCTACTGCACCATCGCCCTCGGCCCGCTCCTCTTCCCCCCAAGGACTTCATCCACAGCCGCCCCAGCGCTAGAGCATTCTCCGTCTGCACACAGCCGCGGGTGGGGGGCAGGAGAGGGTCAGACATTTTAAAACTCCGGCCCAATTGTGATGTAAATATTGTGTGACCCTTGGCCAAAATGGGCAATGGCCCTACCTGCTCGCACCCTCTCTGCCAAACCCAGCGCGGGCTAAGTCCCCGCCGCCGCCGCCGCCGCCGCCACCACCGCCGCGGGGCCGGGCCGGGCCGCGAGTCACTGCGTAGCCGCGGAGGGCGCTCCAGGGTGTCGGCGTGGAGCGGGCGTGCCCGGCTCCTCGGCCTCCATCTGGCGGCCAGGGCGTCTGCGCGGCCAGGTCTCCAGGCGCCATGGCGAGAGCCTTCCGACGCCCGGCTCGGGCCCCCGCGAAGTGCTGGGGCGGCAGGGGGTTCCCCGGCGTGGGGAACGGGCTCTGTGAGGTCAGCGCGCCGCGGCCCGGGTCACAATGCCGTTCTCCCCCTCGACACCCGAGCCCGGTCGCGCCGCAGACACCTGCCCGGCTCCGCCTGGACCGGAGCGTCCTCCCGCGGCCAGGGCTCGGGCAGCTGCCTCCAGCCTGGGAGCGGCCTCGGCCTCCGGCAGGTGAGAACAACCCAGGGGCGAGCGCGGGGAGGGGGTCGCCTGGCGGCCCGGGAGCGGCCTGACAGCCACTCCCCGCGCAGAGCGCCCCGGGGCCTGGACATGAGTGCCCAGGAGCCCCCGCAGGGTCGGAGATTCCCCATTGAGGCCGGAGACTCCCCTGGCCTTGCCGCCGTCCCAGAGTCCCAGGACAGCCCGGAGCCAGTAGCTACGGAGCACAACCCGGTCAGGTGAGGCCGGCGCCCCGTCCCGCGGCCCCACCTGTGGCCCACTACGCGCCCCCAGGCCTCCCCACATCCAGGCCAGAGCCCCAGTGGACCTCCGGGGCACTCCCTGGGTGCACCCCAAGATAGGCCAAGTCCCCGGCTCAGCGGCCCGTTTTCCCCAGGCCGCTTCGACGCTGCCCGGGCTGCCACTGTCTGACGCTGCTGCACGTGCCCATCGACGTCTACCTGGCCATGGGCGGGAGCCCCCGGGCCCGCGCCACCTGAGTGCGCCTGCGCACGGCAGCTCCCCGGGAGCCGGGCGGGGACGAGGCCCTCCGCGGGCCACCACGCTGAGGTCGCACGCGCCGAGCACGAGACAGTGATGCACATTTTAAAATAAAAGAATGATGCACATTTTAATAAAGCACAGCATAAACTGTTCTTTCCACTCTGGGCTGGCCTGGTATATCTGTCTGTTGGATCCGGCCCACCAGCTGTCCCACCCTGCCCAACCGCACCTTCTCTGTGCCGTCTCTCGGGGACGCAGCCCTGGAAGCTGGCCCTGGCTCGGCATTACTTGGCGGCCAGAACCCCTTGCCCCAGCCTGTCCTTTAGGACCTGCGCTCATCCTTCTCCCTGTCCATGTACTTGATTCTCAGCTGAAGTTCCTATTACGCTGGTGACCACAGGACATGTAGGTTAGAATTAAAAGATTGCCCACCTACCCCAGGCCCAGTGCATTCTCAGAATAGAGTTAGGTTCTGCTAACTGCCGTTTTGTGACACTCCTGACATTGTTGCAAGGGTTAGGGGCTGCACCCCCAGCCCCCAGCCCATCAGAGAAGTCCCAACTGTTGGTTCCCTCCCTAGGTGCCCAGCAGGGGGGACTCAATCCAGACCTCCCACCCAGGTGGCAGGAGCCAAACTACTTAAGGTATCACCTGCTGTCGCCCAGAGTTCATTAGCAGGAAGCTGGGTTAGGAGCAGGGCCAGGTATACCAGGCACCAAGCTGGGTTACAGGTGTCTTAAGTGCCGGGTGGAACTCCTGCCCCCCTCCCCAGTCCATCCTGAGCCTGGATTTTTTCCTAGAACTAATGGGATCAGAAAAACATTGGGGATGACATCCTTCCAGGAACTTTGGTTTCTTAACTTTGTATTTTACAGGTGAGGCCATATGAGAGGATTTTGGGGTGACCCAGATGATCCTCAGTGTCCCCAAACACCCTAAGGTCCACCCTCAGGAGGGGCTGGAGACACGAAGGCCCCTGCAGTGGCAGAACTCAAGCTGAACAAATATTTCTCGATTTTGCTTTGATGAGCCTGTATTATGTTTATGTTGGGAAAATATAAATGTAACCCAGAGATCAGCTTCATCCCCTGCTCCCCTGGGAGCTAAGTGCAGTTGTCTCATTCCCCCCTCCCCTAACCCGCGGTCCCCGAGAGCGTTTCAGATTCCCACGGTCTGCTGGGTGATTGGCACAGAGGTTAAGGTACTGCTTGGGACACCTCATTCCATCTGGAAGCACCTGAGTTCGTCTCAGCTCTGCTTCCTGCTAATACACCCTGAGAGATGCGATGGCTCAGGTACTTGGGTCCCGGGCCCCTCTGCGGGAGACCCGGACTGAGTTTTGGGAACCTGGCTTTAGTCTCGCCCAGGCCTCACAGTGGTGGGCATTTGGGGAGTAAACCAGCAGATGGGAGATCTCGATATCTACCTCTTTTTTTTTTTTTTTTTTTTTTTTTTTTTTTTTTTGATAGGCAGAGTGGACAGTGAGAGAGACAGAGAGAAGGGTCTTCCTTTACCGTTGGTTCACCCCCCAATGGCTGCTGCGGCCGGCGTGCTGCGCTGATCTGAAGCCAGGAACCAGGTGCTTCTCCTGGTCTCCCATGGGGTGCAGGGGCCAAGCACTTGGGCCATCCACAGCAGAGAGCTGGATTGGAAGAGGAGCAACCGGGACAGAATCTGGCACCCCGACCGGGACTAGAACCCGGGGTGCCGGTGCCGCAGGTGGAGGATTAGCCTAGTGAGCTGCGGCGCCAGCCAATATCTATCTCTTGACATATATCTTTCTCTCTCCCTCTCTCTGTATCTCTTCCTTTCAAAGAAACAGACTCTAAGAAAGGAGCCCAGAGTCACCTGAAGAGACAGGCTTCTTGGTTCCCACGCAGTCTGAAGTACAGGAGGCCAACTGAGGGCCAGCTGATCTGACCACCACAGGCTCAATCTTTCCCATTCTTCTATCTCCATCACTTCCTTTCTCCCCTCTCCTCAGCCTTCCTTCCTTTTTTTTTTTTCTATTTATTTATTTATTCATTTATTTATTTAGTTGAAAGGTAGAGCTGCAGAGAGAAAGGAAGAGACAGAAAAAGAAAGAACTTCCATCCACTGGCTCATTCTCCAAATGGTTGCAATGGCCCAGCCTGGGCAAGGCCGAAATCGGGAGCCTGGAACCCCATCCAGGTCCCCCAAATGGGTAGCAGGGGCCCAAGCACTCGGGCCGTCTTCTGCTGCTTGCTCAGGCACATTAGCAGGGAACTAGATTGGAAGTGGAGCAGCTGGGGTTGGAACCGGCGCCCCTATGGGATGCCCACATTGCAGGAGGCAGCTTAACCCACTGCACCACATCCCAGAGACCCCAACCTTCCTTCCCCCTTTTTTTCCTTAAAAATTGATTTATCGTACTTGAAAGGTGGAGTTACAGAGAAGGAGAGGCAGAGGCAGAGAGAGAGTCTTCCATCCGTTGGTTCACTTCCTAAACGGCCACAATGGCCAGAGCTGGGTCGATCTGAAGCCAGGAGTCAGGAGCTTCTTCTGGGTCTCCCACACAGGTGCAGGGGCTCAAGCACTTGGGCCGTCTGCTGCTGATTTCTCAGGCACATTGGCGGGGAGCAGGATCAGAAGTGGAGCAGCTGGGACTCAAACCGGTGCCCATATGGGACGCCAGCACTGCAGGCAGCAGCTTAACCTGCATTGCCACAGCAAAAGCCCCACTTCCTTTCCTTTAAAAATCGTCTACTGGGGCCCGCGTTGTGACGTAGCAGGTGAAACCACCACCTGAGACTCGCATCGCATGTGGATGCCAGTTTTTGTCCCAGCTGTTCTACTTCCAATCTGACTCCCTACCAGTATCTTTGTAAAAAGCAGTAGAGAGGCCAGCTTTGTGGCATAGCAGGTAAACCCACCAGCTGGGACACCAGCATCCCATGTGGGAGCCAGTTCTAATCCTGGTTGCTCCACTTCCATTCCAGCTCCCAGCTAACGCGCCTGGGAAAACAACAGAAGATGGCCCAAGTGCTTGGGCCCCTGCATCCATGTGGGAGACCTGGCCTGCATGAAGCTCCTGGCTCCTGGTTTTGGCCTGGCCCAGCCACAGCCCCAGCTGTTGCAGCCATTTGAGGAATGAACCAGCAGAGGATCTCTCTCTCCCTCTCTCTCTCTCTCCCTCTCCATCTCTTTCTGCAAATCTGCCATTCAAATAAATAAATCTTAAAAAAAAAAAAAAGCAGCAGAAGTTGACCCAAGTACTTGGGCCCCTGTCACCCACATAGGAGACCTAAATGAAGCTCCTGACTTCAACTTGGCCAAGCACTGGCCATTGTGGCCATCTGGGAGTGAATCAGCAAATGGAAAATTTTTCTTTTTCTGTAACTCACATAAATTTATTATTATTATTATTATTATTATTTGAAAGGCAGCATTAGGGAGAGAGAGAGAGAGAGAGAGGTCTTCCATCCCCTGGTTCACTTCCCAAGTGGTCACAATGGCCAGGACTAGACCAAGCTGAAACCAGGAGCTTCATCCTGTTTCCCACATGGTGCAGGGGCCTGAGCACCTGGGCCATCTTCTGCTGCTTTCCCAGGGCATGAGCAGAGAGCTGGATGGGAAGTAGAGCAGATGGGACTCCAACTGACACCCATATGGGATGCCGGCACTGCAGGCCTTGGCTTAACCTGCTATGCCACAATGCCAGCCCCTAAATAAATCTTTTTTCAAAAGAAAATAATTTATTTCCACCTCCCACCTGCTTGATTTGTGTTGGATGCAAAGATTTCAGAGACAGACTGTGCCAATGGGCCAGTCCTTGGGACCAGTTAGCTCAGGATGCCCATGAGCTATGGGAAAAGGCGTCCCCAGTGGAGGGAAGAAAGTGAAGGGCAAGAGGGCCAGCACTGGAGTGCAGCGGGGTTAAGCCCCTGCCTGCAACGCTGGCACTCATGTGAGTCCCCACTGCTCCACGTCCAGTCCAGCTCCCTGCCAAGCTCCTGGGAAAGCAGTGAGTTCCAGGTCCCTGAGCGAATAGAAGATCTCTTTGTAATTCTGCTTTTCAAATAAGCAAATGTTTAAATAAAAAAAAAAAATAAGTCAAATCAGAGTGCTAGTTGGAGTTCTGCCTGCTCAGCTTCCAATACAGCTCCCTGCCAATGTGCCTGGGAAGACAGCCAAGGATGGCGCCAAGTGTTTGGGTTCCTGCCGTCCAAGTGGGAGACTCAGATGGGGTTCCTGGCTCCTGGCTTCGGCCTGGTCCTGCCCTAGCTATTGTGGCCATTTTGGGACTGAACCAGAGGGTGGAAAATATGTGTGTGTGTTACCACACCTTTCAAATAAATAAAATAAGCCTTTTATTAAAAAAAAAGATTTTATGTATTTGAAAGGTAGAGTTACAGAGAGATCTTCCATCTGCTGGTTCACTCCCCAAATGGCCCCAGCAGCTGGAGCTGTGCAGATCCAAATCCAGGAGCCTGAGGCTTCTTCCAGGTCTCCCATGTGTGCACAGGGGCTCAAAGATTTGGTCCATCTTCTACTGCATTCCCAGGCCATAGCAGAGAGCTAGATCGGAAGTGGAGCAGCTGAGACTCGAACCTGTACCCATATGGGATGTTGGCACTGCAGGCAGCAGCTTTACCCACTATGCCACAGTGCCGGCCCCAAGATAAGTCTTTAAAAAAAAAAAAAAGTGAATGTAGGTAGGGGCTGACGTAGCATAGCAGGTTAAGCCTCTGCCTGTGACACTGGCATCCAATATGGACTCTGGTTTGAGTCCCAGCTGCTCCACTTCCAATCCAGCTCCCTGCTAATGTGCCTGGGAAATCAGTGGAATGACCCAAGTGCTTGGGTACCTGCACCTATGTGGGAGACCTGGAGAAAGTTCCTGGCCTCTGGCTTTGGCCTGGCCTAGCCCTGACCATTGAGGCTATTTAGGGAGTGAATCAGCAGATAGAAGATCCCTATCTGTCTCTTCTTCTCTCTGTAACTCTGCCTTTCAAATGAATAAATAAATCTTAAAAAAAGAAAAATGGGAGGGGGGCAGGCAGTGTGCGAATAAAGCCACCACCCAAGGCGTTGGTGTGTCCCAGCTGGTCCTCTTCTGATCCAGCTCCCTTTGCTTCTGGGAAAACAGCAGAGCATGGCCCAAGTGCTTCAGCTCCTGCACCCACGTGGTAGACCCA